TATCTGACAGTATGGTTCTCATTATTATTTAATTGTACACTCTAAATAGTGATATATCACAAGAAGAAAGTTATACGCAGTTCTAAGTAAAATCATGAAATTTCGTAATTTAAATACTTAAAACCACACAAAACGTTGACGAGTGTAAGTTAGATTAGCATAGCCAGTATTTTACTGTACTCTACAGATTTATTTGAAAACATTTATGTTATCAATGAAAGTCCATTATGCATTATTGCAGATAACTGTATGTTTCGTTGAGTAAAAAATGACTGTTTGAGTAAATTAATAACTGTTATCTTTTGAAATGTTGGTTTATATCTGCGTATTGTAAGGATTTATTACAGGATTCCTTCTTGCTCATTCAAATGTAGGAAATGTTTTAATGATATGGGAATGAAAAAAAACTGGAGTATAAGCCTAGCTAATGAGCATATTAATTTTAAAAGGAGAAGTAGAAAAATACTGACTGAGATTCGTCAAACATAAAATAGAATATCTCGTAGCAATAAAAAGCATTAGTTAACTGGGAAGACAAATAGTGACGACTACTAACTTGTAGTTTAGATATTTAATTTAAATATGTGTATGTTTGTCCCTTTTTTCCTCCTAACCATTATACAATCTATTGTATAACAAAATACCAGGATGTCAATATGGTCCTTTTATTATTTACATTTTCATACATTCGCCTGAGTTCCTATGCATTTATATCATGACTGATTCAAATCTACTTTGAGCTTAAAACTGTTTACTTCCAAACGATTGTATAAAGGATAATAGAATAAACTATTTTGTTTAATTGTGTAATTAGAAACTATTGGTCATTAGTTTGTTACCGAATATAGCCATTAGCTTGCATGTAATTGTTATCTGTGACTCTATTTATAAACTAGTCAGAATTTCTCAAATTCCGTTCATTTATGGTAACAAGTTGAAGCATTGAATTCAATATCAATTGAAGCCCTTTAATACAGAATTATTTTATTATTATTGAATGAACGACAAAGAGAAACTTTTCATAAATTTAAGGTATTTTAAGATTCCTTTTTCATTTACACTTTTGCGTTCTTTTTTACGTCAAACTTCCCCTGAAACATGTGAAAAGAAGGTTTTAATGTTTGACTGACTCCTTAAACGTAATTGTTTTCGGTTGACACAATTTATCAGACGCCTTTTGTATCCGGTTTGTTTATATTTTGTCGTTCAAAATATTTAATTTAAATTTCTATTTTATGATTGAACTGTATTTGATGGATTACTTAGTTTATGTATGAGGAAGCCTGAAATGTTTCAGCCAGTCAGAAAATCTAAATTTTTTACTCATTGGGATATTACAAATATATTAATCTATTTAAAACAATCTACTCAATGCTCAATTTATTCAAAATTATCAAATGAAAACTTGGTAATGATACCTACAGACTGATGATTGTTTGAATAAGGTGTTCATTTCGTTTGCAAGGATCGTTCAAAACAACATTTCAATGGGCAGATTAGTTTTGCTGTTAATAATTGTTATTTCAATATTTATTGTTTTAATGGGTTTGGCACTTATCACAGACAGCAGTCTCTTAATTTATTGATAATTAGGCTACCTAAATGCCTTACTTCTAAAGTTCACTGTGTTTAAAGAAGTTTTAAGCAAATTTTCAAGGGTCGTAGTCAATGTTAAAAATATTTAAGTAATTACAGTTAAATACAGTCTCCAAATATTTAAAGAAAGTCTTCAGTGATAAGATCTATGTTAATATGGTTAATTGAAATCTAATTATCTTTTTTAGTAGTAGTACTACTACCATGTAACTAATGTTAATTGAATATCAGTTTTTTTTAAAAAAACCATAACATCCATTGAAAACAATGAGTTACTTACTTTTGAATTCCAATCATTCGATCTAATTCTCTTCTAATCAAAGGCATTAGGAACTACAAACACTTTTATTATAAATAAATGTTGTTGTGTAATTACGTTAACAACCATAACTATTACTGACAATTTCAATTATGTCTTATACATAAACAACTTTATATATACATTTTGCAAAACTATTCCCCCAAAAACTCTTTTTTTTTCTTTTTTATCAAGAAGATAGTTATTTAGCAATCTAAGTGAATATTTTAAATGAATCTGATTTTTTCAGACAAAAGTTCTGTCTTAATAGTCCCTTTGATACTTAATAACTAATAATTTTCTACTGTTTATAGGAAATTTTAAGCATTTCGCATAATGCTGACGTACAAATAAAAAAAATTACTTTTTCTTTAGATTGCATATATTTGTACATACACTGATTATTGAAAGAATGTATAAATAGATAGTTGGGAGTGTGTATTGAGTAAAGCCAAAAGAGACATATACATTACTTTAATATGGTGATGATCTGTAGTTCAGGTGGATGACTTTGGTGGAATTTTCTTGTTTGAGCTGGATGGTTTATTCGTGGAGCTTTCATTATTCTTCTGAACGATATCAACACGACGAACTTCAGGTAGAAGTGAAATGTTCTAATTTTTCTACATGTGATTCACACCTTGTCCAGCACACCTCGATGTTGACTGGTTATTGTTCAGCTTTAACCTGTCTTCTTTATTTTGATTACATTTCCCGTTGATTTGATTCTTGGTCCTATATTTGTCCATAATTTTACTGATTGGTTGATAAATTGGATTGATTTCAATGTGTTTGTTGATAGTTGATTGACCTGAGTACCAAACTTCTAAAATTTCTCTGTTGTTTTTGGAAATGCCTCTATCCAAGATCTCAACATTTTTGGCTTCTCGTGGCGGGGGTGTTGTTTACTAAATTGAGAGGACGAAAAGCGAATGTCCGTTGCTTTAACCGGGTTGGTGGACACGGCGCGGGATTTGGAAAACCCTGATTCCAAACCAATGGTGCACATGTGCTCCAGTATCCTGAGGGAACAAATGGCGTATGAATCAATCAACCCTCCCACATACCAAAGGAGATTTTGGCCCCTTTGTACCAATATTTATGTGTTTAAATAATAAATAAATAAATCAGTCTAAGACTCATTGAGTTTCTAATGTTGTTCATGAATTTCTTTAATTTTTCGATTATTATCAGTTGATGATAATACACAATACGTTTATGATATCTAACCTAATTAAATTTAGATTCATTAATTTTTATTTCATTTTATATCATTTGCTTGAATCTTTCGGTTGAGGTTAAGGAATGTAAATGATCAGTGAACAGCAACTCTAGGATGCAGGTACATTCAGATGACGAGCACCAAGTAGGACGAATTGCACATCTTCGATTTCACTGCCAGCCTACATCCATCTTGGCTTATTAATTCTTATGTTATTTCATTTCACATAATTTCATAGGACCATATCACACACTACTGAAGATAGATATATTTTCACCCTAACATGTTTATATCATCGCAACAACAAATACAGGAGAAGACAACCAGTGTAGCAGTAGCCTCAGCAGCAGTAGGTCACAATATACACAAAGAGAAATGCAAGATTCTCCGATACAACACAGCATGCACCAATCGAATTACACTTGAGAGAGAACATTTGGAGGATGTAAAAATCTTTACATATATGGGCAGCATCATTGATGAACACAGTGGATCTGATGCAGATGTGAAGACGCGGATTGAGAAAGCAAGAGCAGCGTATTTACAACTGAAGAACATCTGTAACTCAAAACAATTGTCAATCAACACCAAGATCACAATTTTCAATACAAATGTGAAGACAGTTCTACTGTATCGGGCGGAGATGTGGAAAACTACGAAAGCCATTATTCAGAAGATACAAGTGTTTATTAACAGTTGTCTACGGAAGATACTTTGGATCCGTTGACCAGACACTATCAGCAACAAACTACTATGGGAGACAGCAAACCAGATTTCGGCAGAGGAAGAAATCAGGAAGAAGCGCTGGAAGCGGATAGGACACACATTGTTGAAAGCATCGAATTTCATCACAAGACAAGCCCTCACATAGAATCCTGAATGTCGAAGGAGAAGAGGAAAACTAAAGAACACATTACACCGAAAAACTGAGACAGACATGAAAAAAATGAAGTTGAATTGGATATAAATAGAAAGGAAGGCCCAGGACAAAGTGGGTTGGTCGGTTGGAGAATGCTGGTCGGCGGCCTATGTTCTATTGGGAGTAACAGGCATGAGTAAGTAAGTATGTATGTTTATATCATCTAAAAATGAATGAATAAGGATACTGATGAAATTGCTTTATTCACATATCCTAAAGAATCATTTACACTAAACAAATAAACAACATTTCATTAAAGTAGTATACAACATTATTCATATGTATGTAGTTTTTTTTGGAAGTACATACTGATCTTTCAATTACAATAATAAATGATCCTGGTTAACACAAGCAACAATAATATATATATAAATATAATCGAGACTGAATTAGATATGATCAAATCATCTATAATTGAATACATTTTTTCTGTTAAATGATCTAATGGAAATGCAAGAACAAAAAAATATTCAGAAGCATTATGTCATATAATTAACATACAAAATGATAGAGAAGATTTGCATATTATGACAGAAATATAATATTCACACTGGGTCAAACAAATCATATGTAGCTTCCATGGTAATTGATAATGTAATCTATCTATATGTATTTCACTAATAATATGTATAACCAAATGATGAACAGAAAACGAAATGATTCAATGGAATTATATGAAATCCAAATGAAATCAAACAATGAAGTCAAGTTATTCACTACAATTTATTAAATGGACAATGTATGATAGTAATAATAATAATAATAATAATAATAATAATAATAATAATGGTAATAATAGTAATTTAGTTTTCAGTTGGGGTCTGTGTTATATTTGTCATTATTGATTGATTATCAGTTTCATTATTATTTATTAATGTAAAACAATTTGGAATTATTTCATTGGTTGAAATTTTTTCATTATTATTATTATTATTATTATCATTACTATTATTATTATTACTATTATTACTATTACTATTATTATTGTTATCACAATGTATTTGCCAAAACTTTTGGCATTGCTGTTGTTGATAATGATGATGATCATGATCATGATAATGACAATTATGGTTATTTGGAATAGCTGATAATTTGAATTCATTCGTATTATATTGATTATGTTCCATTTCTTCTTTTTCATAGGAACCTTGTTGAGTACAATTAGTTTTCATTAATTTTAAATTTTTATTAGATTTAGTTAATTTCATATTATTTTTACAACATAATAAATAAATAAATTCAACTAATTCAACTATAAATGCCATAGTCAATCCAATACATAATGAACATAACCCCCCAATACGTGATATTAATATATAAATATCAAATACTAAACGTTCTTCTTTCATGATTGTATCAAAATCTTGTCTAATTAAACTAATATAAGTATGTGTACCATCATCAAATCTTTGATAATCATTAGAAAATAATGTACGTATTGTAGTTAATTGACTTTTACTTTTTATAGGATCTATGGATGCATCAAAATTTTCTAATAATTCATCAATATGTTTTCTTTGATTTGGTTCATTTAAAAATTTATCAACATGTCTATAACCTTTAGTATATAATGCAAGTTTATATGGATCTGGATCCCATGATGTAACACTTAATTTTGTATCATATGTATAATAACCACAACGTGGTATACATACACCTTGTTGTACAGCTTTTTCTTTAAGCTGTTTTAAATCATTTAATAATGTACCAAAACAATCAAGACGTGTTTTCATTTCTTCTGCACCATTTATATCATTTACATTGTTTGGTAATTTTTGACAATATGGTAAAAATTTTTGTTGATCTAACAGTTTAATTGATCTAGGCCATTCAGAATTAAGACAACCACATCTTTTATATAATTCATTTTGTAACATACGATTAAGGCATTGACTTTGTTTATATGTATAATGTACACCAAGATCTTCAATGGAAATATTTTCATTTGTACATGGTGCTACTGGTGTATGTAAACGTTTCCAAAATAATGTTTCATAATTAATTTCATTCATACGACCTGGTTGTATATTAACACCATGTTTTTCAATTTCTGGATAAGTTCCTTTTTCATGTATAACAACTTTAATACCTTCACCACGTGTAAATGAATCCATAATAAATGAAGTATTTGCACCTTCAATTTTTTTTAATGGTATTAAATGTGCTAAAATAATTAATCTTGTAACATCAGAAGTTGAAGCATTAGGTTTACCATCTATAGTCCAACAATTAAAGTACTTAGGATGTGTAAAACGTCTTATTCTGACAGATGTTTCTAATTCTAAATCACATTTTTCTGCAACAACTGTTGAACCTTCTTCATATAACATACAATGATAAAGCATATCTTTATCATGACCAACTTTAATTGTATCATCTAAATTTAAATTTGTATAATAAAATTCTATTGAATCTGAGAAAGCTAAATCACCAGTATAATCTGTAATACCATTATCTAACATTGTTACTAATAATTGTCTTAAACGTGATTTAATTTGTCTTGGACTTGGTACAATATTTTCCTTCCATAATCCATTGACATTTAAAGAAAATGGATTATGTGCACATAGGGTGATTGCTGGAAATTCCGATTTATCATCTAATAAACTACGTGTATTCCATGCTGTAGAATAACATAAATAATCAGATATTAAAAAACCGGAACTAACCATTAATACACATGTCATTATAATAACAAATAAAATCCATAAAATACGAATAAATGGAATTTGTGAACTATAAATTCTTTGTACACCACGTATTGAAGATAATACACAAAATAATTCCAATTTTCCTTTAGGTTCATTTCGTCTAGTTGATATAAAATTATCATTAGGAATAGATAAATTTTGATGTGTTCTTGTTGAACAAGTAATACATGAAGATTCATGTTCTGATTGATTACAATGAATACATTTGACTGATTCATCATAACCGGATAAACAGTTTTCTTTAACAGTGTAAATCATTGTTTAATTACATTAATTTGACTTTCAGAAAGATTCGAGTTTGTCAGTTCCATTTTAAACTAATAAAGAAAGAAATAAAGTGTTAGGAAAATGAAAACGATAAAGTGATTTTATTTTCAACAAGGTTATCCACGGCGAGACTATAATTTATGGACGAACCAACCAGGTATAAGATAACAGGTCTTGAATTTCGGCGCGAAATTCACTAATTCATTTAGCGAAATACCGTTCTACAATTATGGCTGATGTCCGTTAGTGATGTAAACCCTTAATCTAATTGGTAACCTTAACCATCAACTGTAAATCATAATTCTAATTCTTCACACTGGTTTATAGCCAGTCAGCTACAACGTAGGACCAGGCACATTTATGCATCGGTCCAAGTTGCCATACCTCGTTAGCACAACAAGATGAACACCGGATTCATAGAAGTAATTAATTTACTGGTGGTAGTAGTATATAAATTATAGGTTGTATATAAGGATATAGTACAGGAAGGAAGAGAGATATGAAGCAATTTTAGTCTCAAGGTTTAAAGGAAGATAAAGAGTGTATACACCTACGCCATTGTGATCGATTCTGAGCCATGTCACCTAGAGTCTCCAACCATTGGTTACGATAGTCACGCGGACCCCAACCAGGTAGTCCTCATCTGCCAACATGGCTCAGATTAGAAGTTAGTGACTTCAAACACTGATGCCATGTTTTGGTTTGGCCGCCCCTAACTTTTTTCCAACCATCCCCTACACTAGTCAACATTGCGCGTCGTGGTAATCGGTTCAGGCATACGTAACACATGGCTCAACCATCTCAGTCGATGAAGATTCATGACCTCATCAACTGATTTACCATCGTTCCCTAATACCCTGCGTCTAACCTCACTATTACTTACCCGGTTATCCCAGCAGGTTTATAATCCTCATTAAGTCCTACTCAGTAAGTGGACATGTTCATGGTCACTTGAGCATCTCTCAAAGATCGTCTGTAAATTATAGTATCACCATATTCATTATGAAAAATAATTATAAAAGAAAAATTTTATTAGTTTTCTCCAATATTTCACAAATGAATAAGAAGGTAAATTAATTATTGTGTTAAGCAATAGTTAACTGAAAATAAACAATAGAAACGAGACTTTTTAAAACAATATTTGTTAATAAACAAAGGTTAATAGTGGCTAGCAATGGAATCCAGGATTCGCGTTTCGTCCTATTTGGAACTCGTTGGCTAGATGTACCTGCATCTCAGGGTTGATATTCACTCTGGGACTCGAACCCAGTGCCTTTCACTTCAAACATCCATCTTTGCCTATAATGCTTGTGAATTGCAGTCCTAAATATCAATGAAAAGATTCAAACCAACAATACCAAATGAATTTACTATTTGTTTATATTTACATAAAGTTTTGTTAACGTCTTCATGCAATATGTCTTTCATTTTATTATTAAACTTTCAGTACATGATGCTAACAAGATTAGATCGTTACTTTACGTTTAACGAGCCCCTATTAAGTGAATTGACAAAGTTCAATCAACATAAGATTATCTGAGTCAACTTTAATTAAAAATATGTGGAAAAAATATCATCGGACATATTATTAAGAATCAAGTTACTTTTAACTAGATAGTATATTTAAAACTAATGAAGGTAGAAAATGATTCCATAGCAATTGTTATGATGAAACAATATTTACCATGATAATATCTTACTTATTATAATCGGAGTTAACTAAATTCTCAGATCTGTCAAGTTAGCTTTAGATATTTTCAAAGTGCTCTTTTGAGGAAAGCACCTGGCTGCATCACAAGACAAGCCCACACACGGAGTCCTGATGGCCAAAGGAGAAATGGAAGACCAAAAAACACATTACACCGAGAAATGGAGACAAACATGAGAGGAATGAACAAAAGTTGGAAGGAATTAGATAGGAAGGCCCAGGACAGAGTGGATTGGAGAATGCTGGTCGTCGGCCTATGCTCGATTGGGGATAACAGGCCTGAGTAAGTAAGTAAGCTCTTTTGATGTCTAATAATAATAAAAAGTCAATTATGGAGTCCAAGGGAAATGTCTGACCTCTTACCAAGGAATAAAGAAGTAGATAGATCCACATCCAGATATTTTGTCAATAATCATACACTGCTGGTCATGAAGACATTCAAGAAAACTAATGAAATTTGCAAACCAGAATTTATAGAAAACTATTTCATACTTATCTGAAAACCTTAAAATATTTCAATAAATTACTTACGTGATAGGATTCTTAAAAACTGACTGTTGACAGAAGAATTTTAACATTAAGCTACTTTTTTAGAATTTTACATTTCGTTAACCAAATCACATTATTTGAGAACAATAAAAAATTTGAAAAATTCCCATACCGTGATTTAGGACAACATATATAAGCGAACAATATTGTTTTCAATTAGATCCTCATCAGGCTTTACTCTAATATACAGAAATATTTATATGAATGTACGAAATCTATTCCACTGTTATCACTGACTCATAAATTGCCTTGATTGGTTTAATAATTTTGTATATCCATATAAATATTACTGTATATTAGAGTAAAGCCTGATGAGGATCTAATTGAAAACAATATTGTTCACTTATATATATGTCGTTCTAAGTAACAATAAAAAAGCTTTGTAATGAAATAATCAGCAAGCTCATTCATCTATCTAAACAACATTTGTTTTTATCATTGAGCCGTTCAACAATGATCAACTATTCAAATAGTCATTAAACATGAACGGCATTCCTTTGTTTATTTTTACAACATACTAGTACGAATGCATTGCAAGTAATCCCTATATATATATGCATAATATCATAATCATTACTGTACACAGTAACCATTCAGATAACTGGTAAACAGCAAAAACTGATAGTAACGATAACAATAACAAAATAATGAAAGGCTTACATAATAGTTCAACACTGCAATTAGGATAAACTTAGATAAATAGACTTTAATAATTACAAAACACTACTAGAGCTAATATAAGAAGAAATGTGTAAATAATTAGATAGTCAAGATTATAAATGAAAGGAGGTGTAAAATAGCAAACAAATACGGGATGTCAAAAGACCAATAAAACTGTCTGTTAAGTCATGTCCGGTCAGAAAAAGGATATGGGTGTCATTAATTTATTCTATATATATAAAATTGGGTTGTAGGTTTCAATCCCTATAGCTTCCAGTGTATGTAGGAAACAGTGAGAAACGGTGACAGCGTCGAGAGCTCTTAATCGATAACACGTATTATATTGCCAGTCGGACAAGTGGTTGATTGCGTCACCAATTGTTATTTTGATCGTCCCTAATCGTTTTGTTGGAATCGCTTATTACATATACTTATAAAGCGAGGAACCCCTGCAATTCCCATGACACGAAAGTAAGAACACAAAGACTGATACAAATGAAGATTTATGAACCCCAAAAGACAACAACGACGACTGTAGTCGAAAATACACTCATCAATGAAATACTGTTTTGTACACTCATTTGGATTAATAATTAGAATAAAATCACATGCATGAAAAATGCAAAAATCTAATGGTGCTTGTCATGCTGAACACAATTCATGTTAATTAATTACAAGAATATCGCCAAACATCGAACAAACACCACACTCAAATATATCACTGTTATACTGAATAACATATCACACTGGAAAGCAGAAACAAATACCGCACTGAAGAATCATCACACTGAAATAAATCAGAAGTAATGTTGAACAAAAATCACAATGAGTAAAAGAATGTAATTTCGCTTTTGAATCCCGTCATATCAGTAGCGAAAGTGCCTGATCCCACAACACGCCAACCATAACATAAATGTTAGAGAACATAGCAAACAGTATATAATTGGTTGGCAATAAATTAGAAACAGCAAAATCTATAATCATGATTTATAGGTCCCCTGGAAGCTCATAATTAGAGGGATAAAGAAGTATAACAATATAATTATGATGGATCTTTATTCACTAATTGTACATTTTATATATATATATATATATATATATATATATCAAGTCAGAAGCCGTAGTACTTGATTGTGTTATTTCTGATGTCCTCGAAAATAACTTACTTCGAAAGTAAGTCCTAGAGTTCTAATAATGCGCTGTGACAGATTGGGTTTAATTACGTCTGAAATGAAATAGATGCTGATCAAGGCAATAGATTAAAGACTAATAGTATTACTATCTGAGTGAAGTTGTTAATATCAATGATTGAACGCCAACTTAATGGTCTAAAGTTTAAGCACTCAGTGTGACATTCTACGATCTTTAACTCCGTGCCTTATGTGGTCGTGGATACACACGTCTAAAAGGTCCCACACTAGGAAGAAACTTCTTTCTGGCCTTACATGGTGGTCTAGCTAAAGTCAGTATGTGGCGTGAGTTCTAAAAGTTTATGAAATATAGCCAACAACTTCTATATTAATACTAATATTTATGATTTTAGAGTTAACTTCATTAAAGAACCTGAAGTTAACTTCATTTATACTATCTTCAAATTATTTCTAGCTAAATAATGTTCAGCGTCTATATTTAAAAATAGAATTCTAAAATTTAGCTTAATAAATTAAAATACATCGATCATAACTTTATAATAAACTTAGTTAAAATAAATAGGGCATTTTTATTTTTCCATGGCATTTTTTTGTGCAACATATAAATATTCACTAATTTTTACAATGTTTGACATCTCACGAGACTGATAGGTCCTGGGTTCGAATCTCGCGAGTGCGATATCGTGGATGCGCACTGCTGAGGAGTCCCATAATGGGGTGAAACGGCCGTTCAGTGCTTCCAGGTTTTCCATAGTGGTCTAGTTTCAACTATTGAAATTACTATAATATCCACAACAAACCCTTCTGATATCTCACATTGCATCTTCTTTTATTTATGAAAAATTTCAGTTTTATTTTGTATACATATCAACATTATTACTTAAAGTATATTAAAACTTTGTTTCCAGCTTTATTACTTTATTAGTTTAAAGTGTCCATAGCTAATGAGAAGTTCGATAACAATAAAAAAATTTTCTCACCG